GCCCCGGAGCGCGCGTCCTCAGGTCCGGTGCTTCTGTCGCAGCGCCGTCTGCCTCTCGGCTCCGGGTCTGGGACCTTGGCGCCCTCCTGGGTCCTGGCCGCTGCCCTCCACGCAGGCCCGGGGTGTCCCTCCCACGTGCCCTCCCTCCGGCTGCCTGCCCCCTGGTTCAGAGTCTCGTTGCTGATTCGGTCCTGCCTGAGCTAGGCGCCTCCGGACGGTTGTCCCTGCTTCGCTCCCGCCAAGTTCCCAGGCTTATCCTCCAGAAACACACACCAGATGGTGTTACTCACCTATTTAAAATCGATCAGTGACTCAAGTTTCCCTGAAGAAACTGGGCCTCACAGTCAGGTCTCCAGCGGACCTTTCCCAGCCTGACTTTCCATGTGAGCCTTTGTCCAGCAGAACGGAAACACTCGCTCTCCTTTGAAGTCCAGGCCCAGTCGGCCTCTCCGTCTTTCTGTGCGCCCCTCCCTTCGTCTGGAATCCCTCCTCCCATGTCTCTGGGATCCGGCCCCACCCATGACAAGGTCGCTGGAGTCGCTCCCAGCTCCTCCGCCAAGCCCTCTCTGATCTCCCGGGGAAGAGCCGTTCTTCCCTCCATGGTGTCCCTGCACTGCATCGGTCCATGCCCGAGGACCGTTACTTCTGCAAGTCCGCTGTCTCTTCAAGCAGCCGGGTCTTTCTGGAGAAGCCGCCCTGTTCCCCGTCTGGAGTCACCTCTTCCTTCCATAATGCCCCACATTGGGCTTTGGCTCCGGCAGCGGCTCAGCGAATGTTCGTGCTCAGAGCAGGCAGCCTCCTCCTGGAGCTGTGTTGTTATCTGTGCGTCTTTGTGTGGAGAGAATGCTCGTCCTCGGGGCTCTTCCCCCACTGCCCCCGCGAGGACGCAGCCAGCTCGACGAGAATGAGCGCGGCGGGCTCAGCCTGTGTTGGAAATTGGGTCCTGCCATGACGCAGAGGCCGCTTTAGTGCCTCCAGTGCTGGGAGTTTGTAATGTGGCGTTGAGATATTGCAAGTCTGTAATCAAGAGCGCATGAAAGCAGAGAAGGCTTGCTTTAAAGACTCTGGCAGCGACATGCATTTGAGGTTGAAGTTGCCCCAGTGAAGGGGGGCTGTGGGGCACAGCAGATGTCGGGGGCCAGCTGTGCTGGGGCTGTGGGGTGCTGAGAGCAGGCGGGCTGGGGACCAAGTCCCAACCCCGGACAGGAGGCTGAGCAGGAAGGGGAGGGAGGAACAGCCTGGGGAGGTGCTGAGAACACAGCCTCGTGCTGGGATTTCCTGGTGTCCAGACACCCCGTGAGTTCACATGCGCATGGGCATGTCCATGCACGTGCGCGCACACACACACCCCCAGTAGACATGGAGACACACTAATACAGGCGCACAGCCGGACCCAGCACGCCGGAGAGAGAGTGGTAGGAGGGATGGCTCACGAGTTGTGGGCCTGTCCTGGGCCAGAGGGTGCCAGGGAAGGGGGTGTATTTCCAGGGTCACCTGTGTGGGTTTGTGCACAGTGACAACCCCGCGCACAGACACATTCACACATTCCAGCACCCAGGCTTCCTCCTGCGTCTGGAAGGCGCCCACGTGCTCGTGGACAAGTGCTCCTCGGGGTCTGTAACCTTCTCAGAGCACAAACAGGCACACGCACGCACACGCGTCGCTGGACCCAGAACAGACACACACACACACA